CAATGGATTACGTAAAGCCGATTAGATATTCATACAGTTATATAAACATAGCGATCACCATTGGGTGGGTTGAGTCTAAATTTACCTTTCCTCAAACCTGTAAAAATACTTTGTATGACGTAGTTTTTCGACCAGGTTGAAATGGGCCGTAATATTTTACTACACAACGGCTATTCGCAGCTTTTACTACTCAATCGCTCAAACGCTAGTGAGAAAACATCAAAATGGAAGAGAAACTGCTGTAAATCGAGACAGGTTTCATTCAACTACAGACGAGACGGGTTGATAAAAATTAAAAGAGCCCTGACCTCTAGAAATACCTCATTCATAGGGTGCCTTAGTAACAGAGGTCGCCGGGCACGGCCGTACAACGTACTCTGCGACAAAGCTACAAATGCATGCTAGCTGACAAGGGAGTTTCCGATTAAGGTGACCAAGATGGCATCACAGAGTGCTTGATTTTTCCGTGGTGTTTGAAAACAGAATATCGCTGTGATTTTCAGGGTATTTTTTATTTTTAATTAACCAAGCATTTTACGTTTGTGTATTTTGCCACTGAAAAGATAGTTATTGATTACAACACAGCAATGATGTCCATCCATTGCATCACAATGCTATCAGCACAGCGATCGTTACAGCGAAACGAAAAATGTTTACTTCAGTTTTAAAATGCCTTTGAAGAAACACATGCATGAAAATAAATAAAAATAAAATATTTAACAGTATACCACTGGAAGCTGCCAGGCTAGAAATTGTCGACATTTTGCGAGATAAGGGTGAAAAAGTTTACTTATCATTTACAACTGTATTTTTTTTATTCGGCTTGCATGCTGAAAAGCGCCTACGTCTTGTCTGTTATTTTCTTTGTAGTTTGCGAGGCTAGTTGATAGCACCGCATCGTAACCGAGGACAGCAACTCATTATGAACTCATATAACATCGACAGTGACTTGTCAGTTAAAGAGCAACGTAAAGAAACATATGCCTGCCTCGGTTCCCTATATTTTAAAATTGATTTTTGAATATGTTCAAGCATTGACAATGCTCCGAAATTTTAACACTAAATAGCCAAGACTGTCTGAGTGTGAAAAAGCAACAACAAAAAAATTACTCCGCGTGCTCACGAACCTGCATCTATATCTTAAGTTTAGCTTTTTTATCGCCAAAATTAATTTATCGATTATTTTGTTAATTCTTTCGATATATCATGCTGGTGTTGGTATTAGTGAAGAAACAAAAATGAATTTTGAAGAAATAACATTTTTACCTAAATGAATTCGGTCCATACAAGGTAAATTTCTCTGTCTCCATATATTGAAACACATGAGACTATACATTCATCTATGGTAAGACCTCGCGTGATAGTTGATCATTCTATCAACCATCATATTATACCTTCGATTATCATGAATATTATTATGGGAACTTTAATTGAGTCAAAACGCTTTTAATGGAACATTTTGAATCATAATTTTTACCTCGCACAACATTTCTCCATATTAACAGCATAGCTGTCCCACTGCTAACTTATTCTTTAACAGATTCACAAAAATCGGTATTCTATGAAAATGTGTTTCCCTTGTTTTACAGTTTTTTCAATTGGTATATCAATATAGTATTTAACTTAGCAGTTGTGAGAGGTAATGAATTCTTTGGTCTTTTCCAACAGCTTGTTTGCGAAAGACCTGACTGTGACTGTTGAGAATTCGCACCTTTGCCACAGGCTACATTTCAGTCCAAGGATTATATAGCAAATTGTGTTCCCATGTGTGTAAATCCTGTACAAAGTATATGTACCGCATTTGCTTAAATACAATTACGTATGTCCGCTGTTAAACAAATATTATTAAAAAATCGTTGTTTGTAAAATCTTGTTGGTGCACATTTTACAATCAAAGCATTATTATAAAAACACTGATCAAAATAGAAATATTGAAGATTTGACTTTTTATCATTAATATAACATTACCTTGCAATTTGTCACATGTTTTGACCAAAGATTTTTCCAAACGTTTTAAAAAATCGAAGTTGCTGTTTCCTATAGTCTGTTGGTGATGAATTTATATTTGTGTTTATATGATCTATGCTGGGTGAAAAAGAAATTGCTGTGATCTGTCAAAAATTGATAAAACGTTTTCATTAGACCTTGATATATCACCCCAACTTTTCAAAAGATTGACATTTCGGAAAGACGCTGCTGAAATTAGTGATTTAAACGATAACACAAATACCTACAAGTGCCGTTTCGTGGATATTATCATAATGTTTATCTTTAGAACGGTGGTTTTAATTATAACACCTTATATGTATACTCTGTTGTTGACGATTCTGATATAACGGATTCTGCGGAATAAGCTTTCTGTTGCATACAATGCGTGATTATCTAACTTCCATTGTAAAAAAATATTGTCAATCCAGACTTTGTCGAGAAAACAACCTCGCGAGTGAGTTTGAACTATCCGCATTTACATGAACGAATTTCAACTTCAGATCTCATGACGACACAGATACATCAGACGAGCAAATGAGTACAGGAAATTTGTTACTCATGGATACCAGCCAAATAAACGAAGTCATCTTTTCTAGTTACGCAAATAGTTTGTGTCCCTCTAATTGACACTACCCTTTTCTATCTTCCGTAGTAGGTTTATTCAATTCGTTCACACAGCTTTACGTTTTTTTTTGTTTTTTTTACAAAATAATAATAATCAAACGAAGTTGATTGCCTAGATACAGTTCGACACGTTACACGTTATATTTGCAAATTTTCATTCATTTAACTATATTAAATATCTTCAATACTAACCCAATTCTAATATTGCATATCGCATTTTAAAGGAACCTAAATGCTTACTTGATCAGCGAGAGCGGATGACGTTGTTGAAGTTTTAGTGTAAAAGTGCAAGTGTATCACATAATGACTACCACTGAAAATTAATTCGTTTAATAGCCATTTTTCGAGACTAACTTGAACAATCTAAATTAAAAATGTGTCTAAGGATTATCAATTAATGGTTCAGTTAAAAAAGTGCAGCTGAACTCTTGAACAAGTACATATGGTGGTCTAGCGTGGTCAAGCAATGGAACTCCCAACCTCTCAATTAACATTTTTATTTACACACCTTTATGCTATGTAAATAGACCAATGGCCAAAATTAAAAGAAGAAAAAAAAGAAGAAAAAAGCAAGTACACTTAGTCTTAGATATAATCGTAATTGAAATGATTTGTCATGGCCATGCATTTAATATTGTCACCAACAAACCCCATTTGTTTTGAAATTGCTTTATCTTTACATGCTATAAATTGCTCTGTTGAACAAATAATTTTCAAGAAATCTATAAATTAGAACTTATTTTCTTTACGGCAATAACATATGATTTTTTCCAATCACTAAAACATAAATAAAATTGGTACTTTCATTCAAGTCCTTAAATTGTCATGTTCATACCAGTGGTTATAACCAACAGTTTTGAAAAAAATCCAGAAGGGTTTAGGTTGTATAAACCATTGTAATTGTCTTGGGTTGCTCTCCACAAAAAAGTACACGAGTCATTTTCACTAATTTCCACATTTTTATTAATAATTTACAGCCAAAACATTATGCTTTATACACTAAATTTGAATATTTTGGTTCTGTGTCTAGGTTGGTCGAGGGAGAATTAAATAGACATTTTTCCAAATTTGTAAATCTCTTAGATTAATTTGCTGCGTGATGTTCTTAGTTAATGTGTACATGATTGTCTTTGTAAATTAAAATGTTAATATAAATATAAAATAGTTTACGCATCGTCGCTGTTTAGTAACAGTCATTGACTTGAACATATTCTTATTTCTAGGATTTGGTTAGACTTGTAAAAAATGAGAAATGCGCAAGTGGCCAATTTAAATCTAGCATGCACTTAGTACTATGATAACTCGTTTTCCTATCTTCTAACAGTTACATATACAGGTTTTCTTTATCTTCTGCAAGAGATTGTTGCTATATATAATTAAAACCCTTATAATGTGTTATTTGTCTTAGTGACACTATATAATTGCAATGAAGATTTAGAAATGTTCGTGTATCCTGCCTCTAGGCAATTCTCGATATCCACAGCTGCGATTATATTTGTCAGTGTCAGTGAAACATATATATATATATATATATATAATATTTCACCTTGTACGTCACGGCTTCCATGGTTATATGACGCAACCATCGGTTCTGTGTACAATACACGACTCTAGTAAATAATTCAAATTACCATCATTCCGTTAAGAATTTGGAGGTTTAAACACATATGTGACCATAAAAATTGTGCTTTTGCATTTACCCTGTGTATTGTTTTTCGACAATATCCTATCAATATATGGTATTTAATTTGTGTTTTATAATTACAATGGGCACATACCACGATTTCCACCTCGCTCGTTTTGGTAAATCGTGCAACTATATGTCAGTAAAATTTATTTCAATCATTATCTATCAGTATGTATATATGTACAAATGCTGTGCCGTCACATGTAGCGCCATGCTATTTGAATACTGGCTGAATAAGTATAATTGTTTGCTATCAATAGCTGAAAACTGACAAGATCATCTGAAATGGTACGATATAAATAAATAACTAAATAACTCCTAATAAGGAGACTATTAAATTTATGTGTAAAAAAGTAGTTCCGTACATCAACATTGCAAATTGGGGCATGTATACATTTCTGTATTATTAGCCGAATTTGTCTCAGCTGAAATCCGCGCTGTACATCTGCAGCGTTTTTAGATACATTGTTACATTAGCATAAGGGAAGGTATCATGTCTTCAGATCTGTAGCGATAATTACGATTTCTGCAATTAAAGTCTACGGCGGAAGTATCCGGAATTTAGGGGGCGGATAACCAGTATAAATACTGCATGCAAGATGTATTCAGCCACGTTATTAATTTCGAAGCTGTGGTGACTTCCGCGGCGCATTCAGCTTTAGAATATACGTCTAGGTGGATTGAATGCAACCTCGTCGATATGTCGCATGTCATGAATTTCACTGAAGGTCTCGGTAAAATACAGTATAGCAATCTTCCTTTATGGGTGTTTGATATCGCCATACCCATGTTTGCAGCAGTAGTGTTCCTCGTTGGTGTGATCGGCAACGGCGTAGTTATACTTACCATGCTACGATATAAGAAAATGCGGAAATCTGTAACAAATATCTACATACTGAATCTTGCTCTGGCGGATTTTTTCTTTTTCTTGGTTCTACCATTCGTGGTCTATTTCAACAGTTCTTTCGACTGGATATTCGGTGAAGTCATGTGCAAGCTAACGATGGGTCTTGATGGAATGAATATGTTTACAGGAATATTTACCTTAACATCAATGGCTGTAGACCGATACCGAACCATTGTTCGCTTAGTTGACACGAGATCTTATCGACGCATTTCTATAGCTAAGTTTACTTGTATAGGGCTATGGGTAGTGTCCCTGTTGATCACGCTTCCACTTTGGTTTTACGCTGAGGTGGAGCCGCGTCGTGACAATATATTGGTCTGCACTATCCCGTGTCCCGTAGCAGTAAAGTATGGTTTTATGATTACAGCGTTCATTCTCGGGTTTGTCGCACCACTTGTTATTGTATGTGTATGCTACACATGGATCGTGACTTTCCTTCGCAATCGGAAGCAATCGTTAACAATAACGGCAATAAAAATTGGCAGAATTTCCACATTGGTGTTTGTAACAACAGGCGTGTTTGCCTGTTCGTGGTTGCCTTTCTGGATTGTTCGCATCGCCTTGTTAGCTACGCCGAATGAAGAACCAACAAAATCGATGGAGACAGCATACTACAGCAGTTTGTGTCTAACTTTCGCGAATGGGTGCCTTGATCCTTTCATTTACGCCTGCTTTAAAGAAGATATATATCAAAAGATAAGGAAACTTTGCTCTTGCTTCAAACGAGTGACAAAACCGGTTGAATCCCATTTATAAAATACAGAATATGTGCCTACATTTCCCAGAAATCTGGCAAATGTGAAAAAATTATATTTCATATTCAATATTAATAATGTATGTTGAAATAAGTGTACAACTGCATATATATCAGATAGATGTATATTTGACACATACCGGCTTTTGTATTGTGTCTTTTAAGTTTTTCTTCAATTTGACTTTAACTGATATTTTCATTTTTCTGATATAGCTCACTTTGATGTTAATTTCATATAATAATTCTACAAATGTGTGATTGAATGAATGTGCCATTGATTTTACAGTTATTAATTCCAGTTATATAATTTCTAACGAGTGATAGGTTGAATATATAACATATGTAACATGAATGATATTACAATACAAAATTGCAGTTATTTTTATTTGTTTTACAAAATCATTTGCAAGGAACAAGTGAAAATGATAATTACACGAATTCAATAAAATATTTCTTCAATTTTGTCTTAAGGAACATTTTGATTTTTACCGATTTCGCCCACTTTGATGTTCCTGAAGAGCAAAAATGAAGTTCAATTAAATTCATGTCACTGTTGACTATTCAATCTATCAAAATGATTATTACAATTTTAATAACGGGATGACCTACCAATTGCCCTGGACGTTCGTGAGGCTCTAAAGGCTGCTCACGGTTATTCTTAATCTGTCTTTGTTTTCTAGTACGACTAAATGACTACAGGCATGCTACCTTTTGAACAATTTTACAGGCTGCGATAAAAAACCAAAATCATTATTACAAAAATCAAGACGTAGGTTTAATGTGTATTATTATTACTAGAAACTCTAACATGAATGTGGAAGCGCAAACCAAACAAAGTGTGAAGCACATTCAGAATCTTCGGTCCTAGGAAGTAAACCCTTAGACAATTTGTGGCCGGCATATGAACTACCGTATTTGTCTATGTTAAAACTCTCATATATTTATATGCTTTTAAACTAGTATATCGTGTAATGTTTCGAGGATAACTGTACCACAGAGCACTGTCACTTGTTGTACCGTGAATTTAATGTAGTCAATATCGAAAAATAAAATAAAACTATATAATAGATGGTGATTATATTTTCTGAATACAATATCAATGACATTATACTTCGTGTATTTTGCATCATAGTATAACTCGTTGTATATGCCAAGTGTATAAAATATATGTACCTAATGCACCACACGTATAATTGATAAATGTGCTAATGATAGTACAGTTACGTATTTTAGTTATATTATCTGTTGGTAAGCTCTAGTTTGAATATACCAAAACCAATAGCGAAAATAATCTCATGGGTTAAATAAATTTGATATTGCAGATGCACAATATCTTCTGTATTCAATTTGAAATTCGTGGGTTTTAAACCTGGAACGTAATTTTTGAACGTACATTCAAGACTCCGATAAATTGCCGTCAGTAAATTGCAAAATGTCCATTGGCCTTAGTCAATAGCCGAGATCTGGTCAGGAAATCTGAATAACTAGTACATGCTCTCAAGTAACGCACAAGCTGTGAAATATAAAGTCCATAAGCTGGTGATGTAGGAATGTTGCTATCGATATATGGAAATTTCACAATAGCAAAATTAAAATCGTCACGCTTGTCATACAGTCTAGTATGCAGTTTTCCACTGCTGTCGAGTAGTAGATCAAGATATGAAGCGAAATTCAGTGTGTCAGTAGTATCTTTAATTTGAAGTACATTAGGATCTGTGATTTATTTATTTAAATCTATGTAGATGTATTATATAAACTCGAAGGGAAATAGAAGCATGTTAGGGAGTATGTTATCCATGTCTGCACTCAAAGTGTGTCCTAATATAATTTGGTTACATTTCCGAGTTATGTTTAGTAAACTATTTGTCGGACAGATCATAGGTACATGTAGGGTTATTCGCGAGGCCAATCATGGTTTGAACAAATAATAGTTTCAATGGTTGTTGCATTAGGCAACCCTTAAGCCTGTCATCTGTTGCACTCGAAGGTAGAAAAACATCCCCAAAGTGGACTAATTATATAGAGTAGTGAGATTCCAAAGTAGCGGTTTTTGGATTTAAATGTGGTTGATTTATCGTTACTATATGTGTATATTCACATTTACTTGTGGATATTAGGTTGGGAAAATCAAAAGTCAAAAATGTCAGGGAAGTCGAATTGAGGTTATTTCGACATTTAGAAATATGATAAAATAACCGGAATTGGTTGTAAGACACGCCTAAATGCTCTACCCACTTTTATATACTGATACATTTACTAGCACATAACCATGACCCACAATGTTTATACTTGCCAATCGGCAAATGCGCTCCACGTTATGCTATGTCGCACTGTCCGACAATGAAATGTTTTATAATTACAGGGAGTGTATGATGACGACCTCAAGTGTTTTCACATCCGTTGATACTAAATTCGCTTGTACATTTAGTTTTTTTTGTTTTATTTAATCATATTTATTACAAATAAAATTGACGATTTGTGTCTTCGTTTCGATAATTGGGTTTAGTTTTTTCTTCCTGGTTGTGTATGGTGATCTGATATGTTCATTAATAATGCGATATCTTTTATTTATCTCACTTCAAATTGTTAAAACATTTAATCTCGAAAAATCGTAATGTAATATACTTTTTATTGTATTGTACTCATTGCCTTGGTATCACTTTTATAGAATCACTGTAAACATGTTTTTTTTAGGCTAGCATGTTATTTTAGCTAATTTAGCTAATCTGTAATTTTGCTAATTGAAGATGTCGCTAATTTAAAATAAAGTATATTTTCACAATGAGATTGTTGGCACTTTTTCAATTTGAGACAAGAAATGGTACAAAATAAACATTTTCATCTGACTGTAGGACTTTAAATGTGCACATTTTCAAGCGTACAACGCATGGGAGAAATCTTATATACTCAATCTATTAAATGTCAATACTTTTGTTACATTACTCATTAAATTATAATATATAATTTTGTTCAGCCTATATCACCAAGCAATACAATCCGATTTTGTCTATTGACAAATAATCAGGTCTTGGTTTTTCGACGAACTGTTGTTTTGTGATCTAAACTTATTTTTAGCTGTGTATCAGGAAATCTATTGAAAGCCTTTATGGGCTATTCAGAAGTGCGGGCTTTAAAAAAGGGAAAAAAATACTCCCTGCACAAGTGAGGACCAATAATCTACATATATTGTGGAAAACCTCCTTAAAATGCACTTCACAAAAATTATACCTATTTGTAGAACTCAAAGAAGCCATAATAAGTGACCACCCTGTAAATGGCAACAGGGAAAAGCCAACACAGCACATCAGATACAGCACGTCATTAACAAAAGTAAGGTAATCAAAACCCATTACATGGAAATACTAGAACAGACTTAAGGAAAGGCATAAGTGCTCAAATAGCAGACAACTGGAAAGATCCGATACTTGAGTGACAGTCATTACCAATGACAGGCGTGCCCAACAATCACAGTGGTTCACAGGCTTCACATGGGTAACATTTAGCAAGAAATCACTGATGCTATCCGAAACTGGGTACATCCAACTTTAATCAGACTTGGAATCAATCCAGTCTCGCTCTTGGATGATATCCATGAAGCTTGTGCGGAGCATGACCGCCACACAAAAATGTCGTTACTTTTTTTGTCTGTAAATAATTCTTGTATAGTAAACAAAAAACGCTAAGGAAAAAGATGACTGAACCGTTTCTTGAACAATAATACAGTTATCATGTCCGTTGGCATATTTACCTCGACATTTCGTAAGAATGTTTATAAATAACATACAATATTCGTGACATCAAACAATATTCAACTAGTTTTCCCATGATAATTGTTTTGCTGTTATTTTAGTTGTTTCTGGTGCAAATTATTTATTTATGTAGTCACTGTGAGGTAGAATATACCTCCTGGTTTAATCGGATGCATATAAACATACTTAATTATTACAAATTCCGGTTAGTAAAGGATAATGTAATCCCAACAAGCCATTGGTAATCCCGATAAGCTTTGAAAAATAAAGTCGTCTGTAATGCAGATTTGAACCGAACTTGAGCCTAGTAATTTGAATAGCAATTTACGCAGTATATGTAAAACTGTAACATGTTTAGGCGTCAAACAATATGAGTGTCTCGTTTATGTGTTCATATGCAATTCTCCAGATCAACATTAACACACACATTTCATTAATATAAAACAGGTTATTATCCTTTCTCCCACGTGTCGCAATAACCAAGAGCAGTGTATGCCCACACGTTTCCATAAACCTGTCTCTCTGATATCTACGCTCATGTATTAGTCTACTTGTCTGAAACGGGGAAGTTTGAGTTTCACCATTATAAATCACACCGACGGGAATCTCACTTGGGGGAGCTTGTTATCTTCGTAAAGATGTGTTCTGATATATATTGCAAAGCTTAAAGGTTCTCCATGTCCCCTGGTTTAATCAGATAACAATGTTAAACTGTTTATATTAAATCTCATCCACGACAGAGCGCATTTCATGTGATTAGACATCCCTGTGCATTGTTGCATCTGTTTGTTTTTTGTTTTGTTTATTATAACCGTCGATATATGTTTATGTCTTATTCCAATGAAGTTTCAGTTGAAAAATGTTTCACAGATGTATACTTCAAGCAGGCACGTTATATATACGTTAATAATTTGTCTAAATTAGGTTACTACGTAGGAAAACATACATCAAATATCTCAATACATAGTAACAAAGTCAAATCGAGATACCCTTCCTTGGTTGAACATATTCAATGGGAAAACCAAATGCACACGCCGCAAACGTTACATTGAATGTGAGTTCGTGGACCGTGTCTGGTTGACACCAGATAAATAACAAATATAGAATATGCATATGGTATGTGTAGCAAAATTTGTCATATGCACTCGCACTTGTAATTTGAACATAAAAAGACAAAAATAAAAATGTTTAATAAAATCATTAAGTGTAAGTGAATCATTCCAATGCAATCATATGACGTTTATTTTCTTTTA